TTCAGGATACTCTACATTAAGTTGACTTTTAGACTGAAATTAAAAACACCTTCTCACACCACCAGGACATACGGATGGAAGGCATAAAGAAAGCGTGTATCTTACAATGGGCCCAAGGGGAAATCGTAACAGACGCTTTGGAAGAAAGAATATTAGTTACTCTGCTATATCATGAGGAAGGATGTCAAAAGTGTCAAAACCTTGGACCCATAACAAGTAGGGCACAAATCACAGCATGACTATCTCTGGCATCTGTCTGCAGACAAGCAAGATAAGGAAGAGGAAGAAATCAGCTTAAACTACTGCCAGAACATCTCCTGGTAGGAGATGTAGAAACAAACAGTCATGTAGACTCAATCCCTGCTGCCAGCATGGGCAACCTATTGCTGAAGTCACCCTTCGGTAGGGAAAGTAATTTTTACCGAGGAAGCGCAAACCCACGCGCTGAAGGGTTAGTCACCAAAACCAAGAGTCTGTCTTCATCTGTCTTATCTGTCTTCTATAGACAGTAGAGATGCAAACCCACAAAGCCTGCGGTCTCTTATTAATTGGTATTTTGCTCTCAAAAGCAAAGAGGAAAGAGTCCAAAATTCTCTTCTCTGCCAAATGCAGCTCAAAACATACTAACTAATACAGCTGAAGAGAAATCTGAGGAAAACAAACAAGAATGAGAACACATTTTATATACACCTGTGACAGGCAAAAGAATTGAAGCCCTTAATATTGAAAGAGTGCCCAGGCAGCAGCAGCACTGAAACTAGGGTTACTCAGAAAGAGAAACTCCTGTCTTAGAGGATGCCATGAGCCAGCAGCTTCTTTAAGCTGGAGGTGACAATACCACGTGGCCTTGGAAGACAGCTCTGTGCCTGCTCTGCAGCGCAGGGGTCCAAAAAGAGATTTAAGCCCAGAATCAGTATTCCTAAAAACTCCAGCAACACTGCTGCCACCAACAGCAAACAGGCTGTGAAGCAAAAAGCAGCCTTAACGTTTTGCCAGTTAAGGCTTCCAGTCTTAACTTCTCTCAAACATTTTGCATCATGCATTCGACATGTATGCCATCTCCTAGCAAGCCATTTGCAGTCACTGCAGCACCTCTTTGACAGGAGATTTACTTAATAGGATAATAGAAACAAATTAATCCAATTTCTATCTAGGTACAGAGAGCACTTGGAGAGCAATTTGCAGTGCAAGATATGGTGCCTATTAAAAAACAGTCACCTGACTCTGCTTTCCAACTTTTGCAGGGTTTTTTTGATAGTTAAACATCACTATTTCTCTGATTCATGTGGATTCTGCCTACAAAATTTGCAGAGGAAATACCAATTGAATTCTCTCTGTGGGAGCCATGACCTTCTACATTTATTGTTCCACTGATGGAGAAAAATCATACACGAAAACGTCTGGATGCTGAGAATGTCTTATAAATATCACAAGTGAAAGTAGCTGTATCTTACCAGCGTGGAGGTTTCTCTGCATACAACACTGAGGTGGGGTGGATATGAAGTTCATGGTCATCACGGATTGTCCTTGAAAGCAAGATATTATTTCAGACCGTGCATCTATTTATTGCTTAACATTTGGTTCCTTCCATCCCCGGTAAGAATGCTTATAAAAAAGGTAACAATGAAAGAGCCAGAGCAAATTAAAAACATTTGCATTTAATGAACAGGCTTTCAGATGAAACCAGGCTTAAATCTTGGCCAAAGGAAGAAATGATAATTTAATGCCCTAAAGGAGTTCTATCTACGTGAAATGAAGTAGTGGTGTTTCAGGCTTTTATTCAGTGCTACAACAGAGACACTGTACTCACTTGTATTAACAGAAGCAGATTACTATTGGTGACAGCTTCCCACTATCAATAACTCTATTTATAATTGCCAAAAAGAAGAGATATTGAAGCAGTTTGAAGATACAAAATTTCAAATATTTAGTAAATCAACCACTATATGTTTCTTATTGCAAGCACCTAGAGGAGCATCCGTTTGTTGATTATACTCAGATGTATCCAGTCAAAGAAGCTTTTAAACACAGGAACAGTTGTAATGAATTTACCTGTAAGCTCCAGTAGAGTGGAATTTAGCTGCATTAGCAAAGAATCCAGAAACTATGCATCTCAAAACGGGATCTGGATCACCTGAAGAAAAGAATTTTTATGTAAAATGAGTCAATGGAATGGCAAAAATTCCTATAAATACCACTTAATCATCTCGAACTTCTCACACTGCATCAGGCTTTGATAGCCACAGCCTGAAGGAAGACAAACCCTGCACTCTCTTTTGATTTCAATTTCACAGCAAATCAAAGTTACTACAAAAAATCCCTACTGTTGCCACTGGTGTGCCCACGAAGACAGTTTCACTGTCCTTAGAGCAACCTCATGTGACAGCTGAGCATCGAGGTCTCATTTTGCAGAGCAGTTAGAGACTGCTGAGAACTACTCATCGCATCCATGCACTCACAGGACAGCTGGAAATCAGATCCCAATGACTGAACCTCATTTTGAACATACTAGAAAAAATGCTTTTTAAAAAGTCAAAAGAGGGAACAGGGTGACCTGTTTCTGACTCTTTCGGTATATCTGTCCACTAACTATATAAATGGTGGTAATCTCTTGCTGGAAAACTTAACTAAAGAAGACTGGACTAAACGTTAATTGTAAAAATAGGCTAAAATGCTCTTCTACAGTCATTTTTAGGAAATAAAATCTGGCTTAAATTAATATTATTTTTAGGCCAGGGAGAGTAAATACTCCAAAGGTTACAAGAAAAGCAGGAAGCAGACTGACAATTTAGAAACTACCTTCAAAATGGCATGGACAACAGATTAAAAAAAATTCACCTTCACTGGACTTCTTTGGCACTTTGAAGCGGACAAGAAGCTTTTTCAGCTGCTCTCTTACAACAGAGGCTCTAACAAGCCCTTTGTAGTTCAGAAAGTGTTCCTGACACCACTGAGAGCTCTTGCTGTGCTGTATAGTGAGAAGAATAGAAAAAAAATAGAACTAAATACTATCAGCAAAATAAAACCCATGTCTTTGGGATCACACAGCTGCCTTCTCTTTTCTTCTGCCTCCTACAACATATTTATTGCAGTTTTCCATGAAAATTTCTTATTTACATAGCAATTAAGAAGGGTACATAACACCAGTAAATACAAAATATGTTTCAAACAACATCTAAAGAGCAGTAAAGAAAATGTCATGGGGTATTTTCATACAGATGGACTTCACTTCTTCATATGTGGTGAAAGAGAAAAGTATCAGTCATTCCATTCTCACACACAAAAAAATCGTATCATAAATCACTTTGTTTTCCAACTCAAAATGTAAACAGCCTTTTCTGTGCACTGTTATCTCTGGTCTTCTCTATGCAAAAAACTATGTCCTCAGCTTTGAGGAAGCTGTATTCTGAACTTCCAGAATCAGAACTGAGGATTCTTGCAAATCTACATACTCTTTAACTGACTTACTTTGACAAAGGCTTCATAAACATTAAGCATAGTGAGATGATCACCTTCTTCCACAGCAAACTTTCTGTGTTGCCTGGCCTGGAGAAGAAGAAATAGATTTTTATAGGCAGATTGATTGTTGCAAATATCACGTCCAATACGCTCAGTTCTCACCATCCCCATATTTCCTAGTGACTATCACAACTCCTACCATATAGGGTGGTTCCTCTAGGCAACAGCAAGATTTAACTAGGAGCACTTCTACAAGTGAAATCAGGAAAATGAACTGAAAATGAACTCCCAATATCCAAGAGAGGGATGCATTAAAATTAGGCTTCCCTTTAAGAATTTACTACATCCCAATACTTTCTCTTCTGTTCCTCTTGAAAGGAAGTGGTGTTTAGGGAGGTTTGGGTTTCTTTGGCAAACTCTTATGCTGACCATTATCTGTTTATAATTTTCCACGTTTCTGGCCCTCAGACAGAGTCATTTAACACAAGTAAAGGACTCCAAGGATCCCACTGCTACTCAGTTTCTTCTTTTACCTGTAACCAATAGCTACAGTTCAAGACCTTGCCTCATTTTCATTCAAACTTGCAGTCTGTAATGGGTATCAATAAAATACTTGGCAGAAATCCAGAAATGTGGAACTAACAAAGAGAAAACAAGACACGACTGAACTTACAGCCTGAGCTTTTTGATTTGGAGGGATCACAAAGATGTTTTGAATCTGCATCATGGCAGCAATTGTCAAAATCTCCTGGGAGCAGCCAAAATTTCCTGAGGAGTAAGTGGAGAAATTCAGTAAAGGAAATATTCCATTCAACTTACCCCCGTACACAATAAAAAGCAGCAGCAGAATATATTTTTATAGTATATAAAAACAAAATACCCAAACTCCGGGATTTTATTTTTTTTATAACAGTGAATGTTATTAATAGAAAACTTAAGACAAATGTGTTAAGACTTATTAGTGTGTTAAACATGTAAGAGTTATTACTTATTAGAGGTCCATGAGTTTAACCAATTCTTTTCACTAAACACCATACCAAGATGAAGCATACAGTCTGTTTCAAGATTAGCAAATGTCTAATACCACACTACAACAGGCAGTGTCCTCTACTCAAGACTATGAAGAAAATCTGACTTTTTTTCTCCTACCTGATTCCAGAAGCATCTTTGCAAACATAGGATTCAAAGGAAACTCTGCTATTCTCATCCCAAGAGGCTCTGTTAAACGGCAGTGCATGTCCAAACCTGCAGCATATTAATGCATATAGCTGTGACACAGGCAAAATAGCACAGAAAGTCTTCTTTAAGAATTTAATGTGTACTAAAGAGCAGAATTATGAGCTAAAAAAATAGCAAATGCACCTAAGAGTTGTAGAATGTATGCTAAACTAAGCTTAAAGGCACTCTTTAATATCCACTTACTCTCCCATGGGTCAACAGTTTTTGGTTTTTCGGCATTTTTCTCCCCAAACATACTTGAACACAGAATTTTCTTCATTTTGACCAAGTTCCACTGCTACTGCCAATGATTTAGAAAACCTGCAGTCAAAGTCAATGCAATGGCCAGAGTGCCTGTTAGCCGTTAGACTTCTGCATCTCCTTTTTAAGTATTTAGCGACAACTTTGTTCATGGAGACACGAAGCAGAAGGATTTATTCTCCTGCTGAGAATAAAAAAGGGCATAATTATGGAACAGGCACAACTGTAGAAACAGGCACCCTACTGGAGGATGGGGTAGGGTTTCATTTTTCTGCTTATGTCATGGCAAAAAAGAATTTAATATAATCTAAACTAAAGATGTACAGCTGATGAAGATTCTCTAGAGTGCAGTCTGCCTCATGCATTAACTTTCAGTATAACTTAACATGTTCTGACTATAATCTTTTTACTGGAGATGGTACATGACAGAGGCATGACAGCTTGCTTTTTGATGCCCAGTTAACCCTGCATATTTACAGTTTTAGCTGTGTGGCTTCCTACAGTCAAACACCTGCAGTAAGGTTTACCCATGCAAAGCACTGGGTCATATTCTAAACCAGAGCACTCTGCTGAAACTTCAGGGAACAATTTAAATGGAAAAGCATTTCCTTTGCAAGAGGACATACAAAATAGCATTTTAAAAAAAAGAATACAGAGACAGGAAACGATAAAAAGAAAAGAGTTCACTGTGAAAGACAGCAAGGAGTGAGAATTGAAAGAGAAAAGATGACTGCAAGTCAAGTTGTACAAGTTATGACAAGGAGGCAGAACACAAAAAGAAAAGCTACACAAGCAGGGACTAACAAGAGCCCAATAACAGGACTTTGGGACACTGTAGACTGCATAAATAACCACAACAGAGCGGACTGAGGAAACAACTGCGGCCCACACATTATGTAAACATATTATTTGTCAAACTGTGTGGTGGCAAAAAACCACAGTTGTGCTTCAGTTGTGTTTCACAGAGAAAAGCCAAATCACAAATCAAGGAATGAGATCTCCTGTAACTCATGTCAGCATATCTAAGACCACAGATACCACTATCAAGTGTTTCCTTTCCTTTACTATTTGATATGCTATCATCTCACTTATTATGACCATGTAGTAATTCCCTTGCCACACCCTACACGGTTCAACAAAACCCGACAGGCATTTCACATAATGTCACAATATTTTCCTCAGAAAGAGGTACAAAAGGCAGCTTATGTGAAATGATGAAGTAATAGATGTAAACACAAAGTCACGCAAACTGCAAAACACTGAGGTATGATAGCTTTCATTAGACCTGTGCAGTATGAGACGTTTAAGTGCTGCCACAATCAATAGCTTAGAATACACTGGTTTTCATCTACAGAAAGATAACTGCATTCTCAAGTAGAAAAAAGGAGAAATTTCCATCTCCTTAACTTTCTACAGGTGCCTCAAGCCAAAATCCTTTGGCTTCTGCTCAGTTCTAGAAATCTCAATGCAATTTTGCACAGTTATATATCGAGCTTGTGCACACATGTCTTTGTAGCAGTAAGCCCGAATATACACGAAAGGCCTGCATGGATACTAGTTTGGAATAGGTGCAAGTTTCCTTGAAATAATCTTGGAAGCAACCACTGTATCCATGTATATATATAAAATATATATATATATATATTAAATTGGACAGCTTAGAAGAAGATACTGCAAAGGTTTTTATAGAACATGCTCAGGAGAGATTATTGAAGTACTATTGCACTAAAAAGTTTCAAGTAACAACCACCAGTATGCGATGGACTGAAGGATTAAAACACTCTCTTTTAAACTTAGGTAGAGCACTTGTTTCCGATAGGCGATAACTTACAAACAAATCTTCAACAAACCCTTGGATCTGAAATAAAACCAAAAATAAAGCCACTTTTTACCTGCTTATTTACCTCCTAAATTATGCTGAAAAAATAAACTCTGACATCTCAGACTTTCAACAGAGCATCAAAGGAGAAGGCTGAGAAGGGACACTCCTGATATAATCAGTTTGCATAACTGTAAAAATACTCAGTCTAAAACCAGCACTGTGTTTATTCAACAGCACTATCTCAACCTTAAGAGCGTCTGCTCTGCAGAAGTTTCTCTGTTGGCACCTCACTGGCACAACAGGGTCCTGACCCTAAACTGCACATTTGCACGCTATTACAATGCAAATGATGAAATACATGATCATACTTGCACAAGAGAAATGTAATCCTTACTGCACCTGCAAACACTTGGGCAGCTTCACCTCTGCAACTTATGTAAAATCTTCATAATAAACCACCTAAAACCTTGAGCTTCAGCAAAAACTGAAGAGTGACTCTGTATCACACACATGCACACACATTTCTTTCCATATTACAAACCAATATTAGCACTTCTCTGCTTTGTTACAAAAGCTAGGCAGCCAAAGGAGTAACAACGCTGTGCTTTTCTGTGAAGCTACCACAAACAGAAAACTTGCCAAAACATCCAACAGCTCATCAGTGAGTTTATTGGCCTTTCCTCTCCATTTCCCTAAGGTGGTTTTGGCTGTGAATTCGACCTTGCAATGCTTCTGAGCCAGCGTGAAGGTCCTTGTTCCAAGCTGGAAATGGCTGCCAAAGACCAGGTGCCTGAAGTGAATCCCTCCTTTGCAAGGCGGAACTGAATCAGCACAGAGCAAAGTCATGGCCAAGCAGAGAATTACAGCTCCATGAGAATAAGGAGAGTGCAGACTGCCACAACCTACAGCACAGCATTTGTAAGTGATGTACAAACAGCCACAAACCTCTGGAAGCTTCCAAAACTTACACAATTTCCTTTACATGACTCTTTTCCTCATGTTTATGGAGCAAGTATTGTTAACGTTGAATTAACTACAAATACCAAGTTAAAATCAAACAGAGTTTCATTTTGATTACTTGTTCTTGTGTCAGGTTTCTGCTTTGTTTACATTTGTTGCATTCAAAGAGATTAAATAGCTGTCAAAAACCCCAGCAATATAACAGTTCTTCCTATAAACAAAATTAGACAGCATGCATCCCACTCACCAACACAAAAATACAAATATTACTACAGCGTGCTTTGAGTGTTGTAGGTATCCAACGGCAGCATAATGAATAAAACCAAAATGAACACATTTAGAATCATGAAATATCTCAAGCTGGAAGGGACTCATAAGGATCCTTGAGTCCAACTCCCTGCTCCAACTACCTAAACTAAGGTCCAAACTTAGGTCCAACTACCTAAAACTAAACCATATGGCTTACGAGCATTGTTCACTCTACTGAATTTGAGAACAAGCTGTGATTAGTAAATCAGAGAACATAATAAAAATATTCTATTAAGTAGCTAAGTAGTAGAAAAGTACTCTGGGTCTGTTAGACTGGCTTTTTCTTTTCACTACAAGTCTGGGTGTATCTGTTAATTTGACCATAACCAGAAAGTCCAACACTAAAACTAGAGCAAACCCTCTTTACAAGCTGCATGCAAATGAGCTCCTATGCATTTAAAAGCATGAAAAGCAAGTGGGCTGAGCACTGAAACGCAGACATTGAGTGTGAGAAACATAATTCAGGTTCATCCAGAAGAAAATATGCTGCCTTTAGGAATGATCAGTGATTTTTTTAGTGGCTGCATCATGTATTTCCAGCTAACAGAATCAGAACAGTTGACTTGCTAAGGGTTTGACCTTTGTCTCAGCTGCAGAACACCACCACTAACATCAACAGCGCTACGCTACATAAGGTGCGGCCTTTTAGCCATAAGCCATACCACATTCAGAGCAGAGACACAGACTAGAACTCATTTTTTAAATTATAACTAGATTAGCTGTTAATAACTTCTGTCAGCCATACCTCCAACATATCAATGAGAAGGTCTGAAAACTCACATGTGTCTCTTGCTTTGCTAAGCCTCTGGGAAGCATACTCTCTATCAGGTTTGGAATCTAGCCTCCAGTGACTGGCCTCTCCCAGATTCAAGCACCAGATCTCACTTACAATGTCTAGTCTAGTCCTGCACACACATCAAGATCAGATAATGAATGTAACATGCCAACAGAAAAATTTAAAATAGATACACTATGCTTTTTAAAGTCTGACCAAGGAATAAACAAAGTAGCAATTATATTAAGCTTGCTAAATTCTATGTTATTACAATCAGTCTGATCTCGACCAAGATGTCAAGCCTTTTCTTTCAACTGTTTTGGTTTATACTTGCAAGTGCTGCATGTTTCCCTCACTGGCACAGTAACACAAAATGAAAGATACACTAAGAGCTTGAGTATGTAATCAACTTATCTAATTGGATGCAGGTAAATTTAGTGTCTAACTTGTGTACCAGTCTAATCAGTGTCCTAACTCTGTCTGTATCTCCATACTACTCTGTAAGGACTGACAGAACACAAACTGAGGATCTCCCTGAGAGAATCAAATCAACACGCTCATCAACTCAGAGCCCTCTTCCTAGTAAGGACAAATAATTGGTTCCTCCCATGAAGATGCAAGCAAGTACACAGAAGATAGCTGTAAATATGCGTTTACCCAATCTAAAATGTTTTAGACTTTTTCATAATTCTTGTATCATAACTATAAATAAAGCAAAGCATCATATTCTTACCTCCTAAAGCATACAGCAATTCTAAAGCTTGCACCATTGACTGTGCAGGAGGTGGCTGTGAAGAAAAAAATGTGCATTGTTTAAGTTATCACAGAACACACAAGTTTTCACAAAAATTCTGACATCTTCCTCTTTTGCAGAATCCTTAAGTTCTAATTGCCTACACTTCTACTCAGGCTCATCACCCTTCTGCTGACCACCAGTGCTGCAAGTCAAAACCATCTCAACAGGCTCAGCATCATCACTGGGATGCTCTCAAGTTCTGAGCTAGAAAAGGCAGACTTGCTTTGTCCAGCAGTGATGCCAGCAGTGATTTTAACAAAACTTTCTCTTCTAATGATACCATATTCATTTTTCATATCAGTACAAGTGTAGCTAGAAACTTCACAGAAAGCAAACCTAAAAATTGGTAAAACACTGCTCTTTTTAACAAGACAGACAAGCACAAGCTAATTTCTGCGGATATCAAATTTTTTTACCTTTCTTCATAAATTGAGTGCCAAGTGACTACAGTTACAGTTTTGCAGAATCTCAGAGTTGGCCTTTGTAGGCCATCTTAGCCCCTCAACACTTTTAATAGCAAGCTCAAGAATACAAACAGTCACCGTTTCTAAGTTGTCACACGCATTACTTGCACTTGTCGATTGCCAAAAATACACTTTGCTACCCAACAGTGGGCAATGAGTTAAGCTTTCCAAATTAACAAGGCAATGGTTACTGGCTGATGGTTCTGTGGGGCATCAACAAGTCATCTAAGTGATCTTTCTTCACACTAAAGAAAGATGAGAGGCTTTACAGCCTGGAACTCACCGAAAGAAAGGGGAACCTGAGCACGTTGTCAATCCCCAAAGCCTTCAGCTGCAAGATGACGGGTGCAAGGTTACTGCGCTGCATCTCGGGAACAGTGGACTTGGGCAGCTTCTCAAAGTCATCCTCTGTTCAAGAGAAAACAAAGCAACTGGACACTGGGTTTCAACCCCCACTGTATGAAGTCAACGTGATAGAAATGTTTCTATTTCTAGTTATGTTTCTATTTCTAGAAATGTATCTATTTCAAGTTAAAGTTATCAAGTATGAATACTTAACAGGTGTCGAAAGAAGTCTAATCCAAAGATGATCTTTCTCCAATTACTGTATTTTGAGATACTTCAATTTAAATAGAAAATTCAATGGTTTTGGCTACATGACTGATTCTGTAGTTTACCCACCCACACTTCAATTTGAAGAGTGATAAGTACTTCACAGAAAGCTGGAAGTGGTTTGTTTATCTTCCGTTTAATATTTTCAATCAGAAAATACAAATCAGTATGCAATACTATAAAAAAAGGATTTTTTTTAAAGAAGAGACAAGGGAAAGTTCAAAACCAGCAAGCTTTCAGTATAAAAATATTATACTATACTAGTATAATTAAAATAACGACTAAGGATCAAAAAAACAACTTATTTGGCAATGCCTTTTATAAAGCACAATCACTATAAAGTCTAAGTCTAGAAATATACTTCACGTAAAGTGAAAAGGTAAAATTCCTGTACCTAATCTTCTGCAGTAAATAAAAAGACAGACACACATCCCTATGTTGATCTAAAACTCCAAATCAAGACAAGAAATATATTATTTTTTACCTGAATTATTTTAATTTCTAGACAGAACCTGCTTCATTATCTGTTCTACCTCAGACCTTCACTAAGACAAAGACAGTTTACCTTTTCCCTACTTTTGTCCACTCAGTGCACTTTAAAAAGGACTCAGGCTTCTCCAGTAAAATACTTTAAAAGCTATGTAAGCAGACATTCACACTTGATTCTTCACCGGACACAAACGTTTAGGGAATAAATCATGACTTGACTTAACATGGCAACTGCTGCCAAGCATACACACATTTTTAAAATATATTCTTGATTTCTCAAAGTCTCAAAGCTCCAATAAAACTAAAGAGAACCCAAGGCACATAAGCAATGGTAGTGCTCAACTGCAAAGCCTTTGCTCATTGAACAGCTGATAACTGAGACAGACTGTGGCTTTCTGAACACTGCTAGGTGAGCAACAGATTCATTTGTAACAGTAATTTTTGTACAGTGCCAGGATCACTGATTCATGAGACGCATTTGGGGTTGGCAACTATTTTGATGAAGAAGCTGCCACAAAAATAAGTTTTCCATCAGTTTTCTGAGGGATTTCCAGAATCCTTTGTTAGATGCGCAGCCTAAAGGAGACTTCAGTCATAGAAGCGAGCACCATTGGTGGGTATCATAAATTGAGGAAACCGCTCAGAACCAGGATCATTAAAAAATAAACTCCTTAGTAGACCTGCCACTCCAAGAGCTGCATTAACATCACAGGTTTGCCATTGACAATCTCATAGATCCTCCCCTGTTTAATTTGTGTTTCTGATTCACAAAACTACTCCGTTTCCAACACTTAGCATATATGAACAATGTATTTCTAAATAAGTCAGAAGAAATTTTGCTTCATTATTCCATCTCTCACTAAAAGAAAAGACACAGTTTTGTTGTCCTCAACCTACTACTAAAAACACTGTAAAACAAAACAAAAGTCACACCAGCAAGTTCACCATCCCTACACATCAAATTACTGACCTGTATAAAGTCTGTAGCATTTTCCAGAGCGGTTCCGGCCCGCACGCCCTGCTCGCTGGTTGGCCGAAGCTTTGGACACCGGTACAACCACAAGGCATTCGATGGCTGTTTTGGGGTTATAGGCCCGAAGCTTCACAAAACCACAATCGATTACAAATGCAATGCCGTGAATCGTGATGGAGGTCTCAGCGATGTTGGTGGCTACTATCACCTACAGACACAGAGAGGATACTGTGAACTCCCCAATCTCAATTACACTATCAAGCCCTAGCATCAGTGCACTGGGACTCAAACAGAAGACATGTGAAAGATCTCAGACGTGACAGTTCCACTCTAGAGTACAAAAGGATACAGTACAGGCAGCAGTAAGAGCTGTCAGCTTGAAATAAGCCCAGTTTTTACAGCTTCACAACAACTTTTTAATTCAGATTTATTCTCTCTTCATAAAAGAGGAGCTTGGCAGTGTTTGCAGAGAAAAACATTAAGTGACTGCAAATCAAGTGTTCTTATGTAGAAAACTAGAAATACTTTCTTTCTGCTTCTCAGTTATACCTGACTGTTACTTGTAACATTGGAGTGAGGCAGGGGATAGGAGTGGAACAGAGTTGAATAAGCATCCCATGTTCAGTATTCCTACAGAGATACACCTGTATACATGTTCTAAAGCATTAAAAAAATAATTATTCCTAGACAGCAGAGGGAAATTTAATCCTTATTCCACCTGAAATTAAAAAAAGTAAATACTGGAAGTTAATTGACTGGAGCCCCAACACAGGCTCTGGCTAAGCAGAAAGCACTAACGATGACCAATTATATACTTCTGTGACATTAAATATCTGAACAAGGCTTGCAGAAGTCAAAACAAAGCTTTTTTCCTACTAAAACCAAGAAAGTTCTAACTTGTTTTCTTAGGTGAAAATACAGCACTTACCCGCTCTATCACCAATTTTTCCATTACTGGTGAAAAACAGCCATAAACACACCACAAAAAGAAATAAAACCAGGTAAAAGTAGAGGACTTCAAAGTGTAAGAAGCTGCAACTGGACATAAACAAATAAAAGATTGTACAAAGATTCAAAAACTGAGCAGTTGATGAGGCAGACAGGAGAGTTAGAACTGACATGCCTAGGATTGATCACAGATGAAAAGGGGAGCCAGAGTTCCCAGTTTCAAAACTGACAGGCAGTGATAGGAGATGCAGAAAGTCTCCCTCCGTAAGCATTTGCAATAGTCTTATGATGTGAACGTGATACATACAAACTGTGTACTGCAAACACCCATCTGGGTGGCAGAAATTGAGACATACACAACAGCCTTACCTTCCTGACACTGTGAGGAACTCTCTCAAACACTTTCATCTGGTCAGGAGAAGGCAACCCAGCATACATGGGGAGAACACGGAGATGTTTCTTCATTCCAGTGCGCGAAAGGGCCCGAGCCTGTTCTATGAGCATAGAAACAACGGTCTCCACTTCCTCCTAGAGCCAGAGCAAGACAGGGGACAGAATGAGAGAGATTTCACTTTAATATCACATAGCTGTCACCTATATACAAAAAATGCACCAAAATAACAATTTTAATGTTCGAACTCCAAGATCTTTTGACGAGCACCCTCAATTTTGTAATATTCTTACATGAATTGCTATTCATAGTAAGTATATATTTATATAAATATTTATGTTCATCATCATTTGAGACGTCACACCACAAATGCATGAGCAAAATCCCAAGGGAAGGACTGAACGAAGTTCATAAGGAAGCAGGCATATTTTCCTGTGCATAACAACTTGTGAGAGCACAGTGGGAGGCCAACCTATTTTGACAGTGCTGAATGCCGTGGGTCTTGATCAGGAATGACACAGTAACAGCATTAACACCTATTGCTCAACTTCACAGTTAATCTCAGAGATCAGCAGTGGCATCTCACTCTTAAACACAGCCAATAAAATGTTCAAACATCACCTCATGAGATACCAAATTCACTCTTCCAAAGTTAAATTAATAATGAGGATGAAGAATTTCTTTTGAAAGTATGCAAGATGTTATTGAAGCTCTTCAAGGCAACTCCTCACTGGAAAAATTATGAGCTACCTCCCATTTACTTTTCTCAGCTGCCAAGTGAGCTGACAGGCATAAATAGAGCAGAAGAGACTACTAAACTTTTATCTCATAGCAATTTGTTTTCCTGTCAAATACTTCAGATGTTAAGCCTAACAAATGTAAACTCCATTTGCCTTAACTATTAATGATGACTCACTGTCAATTTAACATCTTTGTAGGTGTGACTTGCACCAAAAAAACACAAACTGTTCCACTTATTAACAAGGCTGAAAGCATACAGCATTGAATAAGAAAAACTCTCATCCATCACTAGCTTTGATAAATCCAGGCCATACACTTCCTACAAGTCTTCAGGGCTGGCCTAATTCTGTTCCCATCAATACATAAATATTTTCATCTTTAATGAGATGAAAGTAAGCATAGCTAAGGAAAGCGGGAGACTGAGGCAGCTTTGCAAAGCCCACAATACAGCACTGTAAAGTAAAAAAACTGCTTATGTCTATACCTGGCCAGTTAAAAATGCCAGTATATCACCATCATTCTCCATCTGGTGAATTTTCATTGCAGTTTCCACAGTTGATTTTACGTAGTCTGGAACAGGACTACAGGGAGACAAAATAGCAGACATTAGCAGAAAAATAGGTACAGACTCCTCACTTCCATAAGGAACAAACAGAGACCTGACAGAGAGAACAAACAGCTTTTGGACACTGTGTATCAACAATACCACACTGAGTTCATGATGCATCCTTGGGAATCAGCCTTCAGCAATTAATTTGTTTCCTTTACACTAAGCTTTCCTTTACAGTAAGCTTAAAAACATGTCTGCTGCTACAAGCAATATCCAAATGTTTCCCAAACTGAACGTGACACCTCCTTTCCATTGGTTTGGGAATTTCTGAGCTCTAATCTAGCCAAAATGATACCACAGTTGCACACTCTCCTCATCGTCACTGACAAGATCACACAGGAACACACCTCTGTATGTAAAAGATGTCCACAGGAAACGTTCTCCCCTCGACAGTAAGGATCACACTGGTATCTTTGCTGGGGTCACCGGTGTCGTTTTGATTAAAGAAATCCCTGAATTTCTACATTAAAATAAAAACAAACACTTTCAGTCTGATACCTCAAAGAATTGAGGGAGAAACTTAAAAGACATAAAGAAGTTCAATTACTACTACTCGAATGTCTTCCTCATAAATTAGATGAGTTTGATTCTGTTGCTTTCTATTCTATCTGCAGTTCAGGCACTTAGCACAAACACACTGTCTTTCATGTTTATTACTTTGAAAAGCAAAGATCGAAAAGAGTTAATAAAATTAATTACATAAGCTGATACAGTTGCAAAAAGCAGATATAGAAACTTTTTATTGGATCTACAACAGGAGTGAACTCAAAGCTAAGAAGAACTTTGAAATTATTGTTCATAAAAGTTTTGGGTAGGGCTTGCACATTCTCATCCATTTTTGGGTGAGTAAGTAAATTTTACAGCTCTTACTGAACATCAAAACCTCACTTTGTAAAAGCAGAGTTAGGCCAATTTATGTAAGTTTTTGATTTATGTGTTGCAAGACACCATCATAAATTAGATTTATTGCCATGAAGTATTTTAAATATATAACAGCAAAAGAATGAAAATAAGAACCCAAAGAATCCATTTCATTTATGACCATTATAGAGATACCATAAACTTTCTGTATTAAAACAAATATTTATATAGTCATACTAATAATTTTGCTCATATTAACTTATTTTTACATTAACTGCAAGCTATTTGAAATGTGTGATTACTGGCAGCTAAAATTTTGCCTTTGCAAAGTATTGTAATGCTATCTAATGTATAAAATCTATGGCCTGTGATATCTGCCACTAAAGGAAATCTCCATACACATTTGTCTCATGGAGACCATTGTGGAGTTAGGAAAAGTACAGAGAAAAATGAATGTGATGAAGGAGGTGGAGCTGCTGCCTTAGGAGGAGAGACTGAAAAGGCTGGGAGTCTGCTTGAGGAGCAGAAGGTTGAGAATACACACAGCTGAGCTTTATAGAAACAAAGGTGACAGATAAAGTGAATGTAAATTCATGTTTTTGTGGTTTGTTTGGTTTTGGTATTTTTGGTTTGGTTTGGTTTGGTTTTTAAACAAATCCCACACTATTAGAACTGAGAGGTCCTTGATGAAACTAGCAGGTTTAAAAGAAATTAAGTACTTCATTATTTAGCAGGTGGCAAACTTCTCAAAATTGCTCTTACATGATGTCCTGGAGTCTTACAGCTTCATCAAGCAGATTCAGAGACAAATTAACAAACAGCAGATCCACAAACACACACTGGAAGGACACAGCAGGAACATAATGTGTACTATCTCTATTACAACCATTGCAGATGCTGAAGCAGTTCAAAGAGAATGGAGCCACAGCAGGTGGACAGGCTCATGTGCTCTCCCTAAACAGCATCTCCTCTTCTGCTACTGCTACAGACAGAATGCTGGGCTGCGTGAACCACTGCTCTGATCCAAGAGAGCATTTCTTTCACTCCCACTCAAATTTAAATCAATGACATGTTAGCAAGTCACATTAAGTTTCCACATGCCATAAGTCAATCAGGGAACTAGTAAAATCTCACTGAAACTAAATCTATTCACGTATCACTTATTTCTACCGGTCTATCATTATCTCAAATTACTGCTAACAGCAAAACAGAGCTAAACCAACGTCTCCTGCAAACTAAACTAAGCCAAGAGAACATCTTTTTATACAACAATACCAACAAGAGGAGAAAAGGCATAAATATATAAACAGCAGATTCATATTGAAATTTACTTCCAAAAAGGTTTGCTAATACAAAATGAAAAGCAGACTCAGGAACCAAACTACACCAGATTTTTTCCTGCATTCCCTTCCTCTCTTTTTCACCACACAAACAACATCAATGCTTCACAAGAAGCAAGCAGCACAGAGCATAAGGTGTATATAAACAGAAGTGGAGCTGCCACCTAAGGCCACTTCATTTCCAACCAAATCAGTGAGCTATACCTCTGCATCCAAGGTGGCTGAAGCCACAATCAGTCGAAGATCTCCACGCTTCTTTTGAACCTAGGATAGAGACCAAGAACATCCAGAGTAAAAACTGTTTTCTGAGATACAAGGCTAGAACCAAGTTTTAGAGCATCCAGATTATCAGTAGCTTCTCTTTGAAAATAGTTTGAAACTACAAGACAGCTGATGAACTGAAGCACCCACATCACTCCATAGATCTAATGGAGTTTTATGTATGCATTTTAAGGGCATTCAGTCTGTAATCATTACAGCTTACTCTTAACTTCTGGTGAAGTCAGATCTTTAGTAGGTTGAACATCAACAACAACCCCTATCTGATCACTTCACATGATCATCAGCAGCAGAATGAAGATTACCTTTTTGCTAACATATCCAAGAAGAAATTTCAGCATCAAGGGGAGGAAACAGAGGATCCTGAGTGTTAGATGTCTAAAGTAAATAGTTGGGTATGTAAAACAGTCTGTAGGATAAATGAGGAACTAGAAATCAGCCTCTCTCAAATGGGTTCACTCATCAGCCATCAGGACCAGAGGTTTAAGGAAAAGGATGAAAATGAAAACAATTTACAGAGAACATTAAAAAAATCCCACCTTTTTTAGTAAGCCAATGGCAATATCTGTATAGAGAGTCCTTTCATGGGCTTCATCCAGCATGAGTACACTGTGAATAAAGCAGAAAGACAAGACTTCAGAAATTGTTTGATAGGCACTAGAATCAGTGTCTTCCTGTCTTCTAGGAATATTATTATTTTAAATCTGCTGCTGGACTATTACTGCTTACAGCCATTTAGAAAACAGTGGAAATTTAAAAAACTGCAGTGATGAAGTAGGAAGAACATGACATGGTACATACGTACTGTTCATTATTCAGGCTAGCTTTTGGAAAGGGATGGAAGAAAAAAGACCTTTCTTTACTGTACTGCATAGGCTTTCTGGATATCAGAATGTTTGTTACTGATTTTTTTTAACTTTGATTAGCATCAGAAATAAAAAATAAATTTAAAACTAGCAAGTGAAACAATACAGACTCCATGAGACCCATTTAGCTTTCATTCCAAAACCACAGCATCAAATCCTCCCAAGTTTGGTGCTGCAATGATCAACTGATTTTTTAACAGTCTTTACAACATAAAGAAGTGAAACTCCGAAAGTAATTTTTATGTCTTTTGGCATTTAACTCATAATAACCACCCCTCAGTCTAAAACAATGCAGTTGTTTACCAAATCACACTTCAGCAATCATTCATTCCATGTTTCCTTACCTGTATCTTGTTAATAAAGGATCAGCCATCATCTCCCTCACCAGCATACCATCAGTTAGAAACTAAAAGTGAATGCAAAGAAAAATGTAAAAAAACCCAAACAACTAACAGGCAGTCAAGATTATTTTCTAGGCTTTTGCCTAAATTTTTCCTTGCCTTTAATTTTTCTAATCTATTAAATGTATCTGTTTTCATCTGTGGAAGCCAAATAAGCATTTCTGAGTGGTAATAATATGCAGTGATTGCTTTTTAATCAGTATTGATTTTTTTTAAATTAGTTGTTTTTACATTGAAAAAAATAGCAGATTGGCAGCACTGGAACACGGCAATGGAAGTCTTTTCAGTCTTGTCTGTAATGTGGCTAAATCTGCTCTATCAATAACGTCCTGTGTGTCAATCCAGTCTTGACCCTCTAAAAGGAGGCTACTTATCTGTTCTGTCCAGAAAACAAACCTTAACATTTCAACATATTGCAACATTTGAACTTAATACTTTCTTCCTGCTAGACAGTGGAAACCCACCAGCTTTACATCGCCAATAAAGAGCAGTGTGAGCTGTGACTCCAACTTGGCTTGAACTGGGTAATAACTGGTACGCAAGGTAAATACCTTCAAATTTCCAACCCCAAATGATTAATAATCACACACACACACAAAATAAGTATTCCAGCTGCATTTAATGAACGTCTTCATTTCTTTCACTTTCAAAGGGCTACTATCCTGAGGAAAAAATCAAGTAAATTGTCTCATTCATCATCATTGCTATTCCAGCATAACTGAAGCAAAGTCTCGTTTGTACACAACACAAGCAACATTAATAACAGTGCTCACAGCACTTAAGAACAGCTGCAAAGCTTGCTATTTAATCCACATCAAATTACTCTCAGCCTACTCATCTTATGTTTTATCTGCACTTTTAATCAAAATCTATTTTTAGGGTGGCGAGGATACTTCAGCTGTGATTCACTGCAGCCTTTCACTATGACTTTGAGTGACGTATCAGGTCGCACTAGCGCCATACCAATATCTGCCCATAGCTACCTTGAAAATCTCCTTCAGTTCTAAAATGGTGGCTGCCAAACAAGCAGAATAGAACACGTGCTCGTTCTGTAAGAGTTTGGATAGCCACAACCATTTCAAGCACACTTTTGGGGTACCAACCTAGAAAAATGAAATGCTATCTATTCTCTTTGCTGGGTATTACAAGGTTCTCACTAAATTTGCAAAAGTACTTGAAGAATTACAGCTAACCCTTTCAGAGTAACCACACACTGTTCATGCTTCACCTTAATTCTTGTAGCCTGTGGATCCGTGCAATCATCAAACCGAATGCAATATCCAACTTCATGACCCAACACTGCACCTCTTTCATCAGCAACTCGGCCTGCAACCTGAGAAAAGAGATTCTTATAAACAAGAGACAGCTCGCAGATCCTTCTTCATTCTATCATTATTGGGTCCATAGAGAATTGGCAACAAGACAAGAACAGAGCCGGTGTTTCCAAAGAATTACTCATTCATGTTCAGATACAAAATTCTGTTTGACATAACAGCACATACTGAACATACAAGTGGTAAATACTTTTAAAATGTTTTAGTGTAACTTAATAAATCTGTTTCATGCTGCTTCTACTCAGGAGAGCTACAAAGGTACCTTTCTGTAATAAGTGCTCTGGTAGACCTACAAAGACAGCCTGTGACTCAACCTGTCACGACGCTGGGGAAGGGCCACCTACCAGCAACTGCGGGACTGCAATTTAAGAACACAGCTTACATGCAAGAAAGGGAAAGA